AAGCTTCCTACTAACTAATGGTACAAGTAGAACTATCTAAAGGAGAAGGAAAAGTACAAGAACAACCTTGAATGGGTAGAACTGTTAATTGCATGCTCACAAATATTTCAAAATAAAAACATTTCACACAAACACTTTCAAAGATATTTTTAAAACACTTTATACACATTCTTGAGGACCGATACAAGAACCATTACAAAGTTCTCCTTACATTGGTATTTTTCAAAATATTTTCAATGACACACAAAAAGCAAGATTTTTAAAGTGAGCTAAATGATTAACAGCCCGTAGATAACTACAGATGAAAAGGATGCTAACACCTTCCTTTTTCATAACTTACCCCCGAACTCAAAATCTATCAAAGGTCTTTCCTGTTCTTTTCACCCTTTCCTTATTGGGTAAAAGAAAAGTTGGTGGCGACTCTAGCTATCTGCAACATTTGCGATAAAACGCTAAACAAGTCAGTTCTCTCAGCGTATTACACAAGCATTAGGTGTATGGCCAAGAATACCATAATAAAAACAATTTGGAATAAAGTTGCTCTTGTATCTTGGAACTTGTTTTTTCTTAAAAACTCTTTTCTTTTTCTTTTGATGAATATGCTTAATTTGCACATTGTTGGCTTTCTTGGTTTCAGATTGATTACTAGCCTTTACAAAAATGGTTTTGTTGGAACTTGATTTATTTTTATTTTGAATAACCAAGTCCACTTTTGTCATTAGAATATCTTTGTTGGCTAAGCAATCCTTCCAAACCAATTTGACCTTTTTCATATCGTTCAATAACACTTTTTAGTTGAACAATTTAAAAAGTATACAATTCATATTTTTGCATACAAAGTCTTGTTTTTCTTTAAGAAAAATTTGTTTTTGACATTCAAGATCCTTGTTCATAGTATCAATCTTTTCTTGAAAAGAAATAAGTTCCTTTTCTTGTGTTGATATCTTTTTATACAAGACTTTGAATTCATTTAGAAATTCATTGATTGCACCTTGAGAATTTTCATCATAAAGTGTAAAATTTGTACTAACCTCTTCATTTTCATCATCATCGAATTCATGAGTAGCCATCAATGCTAAATTTGCACATTCGTCATTCTCAGATTCAGATGATGTACTAACTTCATTGTCATCCCAAGCAAAGTAGGCTTTCTTGTATTTGGAGTATTTCTTTCCTTTGTTTCCATCCTTATTGGAGAGATTTGGACAATCTGATTTAATATGGTCTTGCTTTCCACATTCATAGCATGTAACGTTTGATGTGGAGGCTTATTTACCTTTGCTCTTTGAGAATTTCTTCCTTTTGATAAAGTTAGAGTTACCAAAATTATTTTTAGGATCAACGAATTTGCCTAACCTTTTTACAAGAAGCATGAAATTTTCATCTTCTTTCGAATTTTCTTCAATAGCGACTTCCTTGGGTTCCACCTTCAAAGTAATGCCTTTTGATTTCTTTTCTTGATTTTCATACTTATCAAGTCTTCCAAGTTTTGTCTCGTACTCTTGAAATTTACCAAATAGAGTTGTGAATGACATATTGGATAAATTTTTCTTCTCCGAAATAGCTGTTATTTTTGGTTGTCATTCTCTAGTTAAATATCGAAGCACCTTTAGGTTGAGTATGTCATTGGTGAGAGCTTTACCAAGAGCTTTTAAATGATTCATCAAATGAACAAATATTTTCTGCATATTCAGAATAGATTCACTGGGTTCCATTCTAAAAATATCTAACTCTTGACTCAATCTATTCAATCTTGATCTTTTGACTTTGACTGTTCCTTCGTGTGTTTCAACCAAAGTATCTCAAATTTCCTTTGCCGTTGTGCATGCCAAAATACGAAATAATTTATACATGCAAAGTGCATATTGAATAAGATTAATTGCTCTATTATCATAAATTACCTTTTTCTTATCATCGTCATCTCATGATGCTTTAGACTTTGATGTTCCAACACCATTGATAACATATAGCGGAGTAAATGAACCATTTTGGATAGCATCCCATATTTCTTCTCCTTCTGCTTCTAGATGAGCCTTCATGAGAATTTTATAAAAGTCAAATTATTCACCATAAAACAAAGGATGCTTATTGTTACTACCACCATCTTTAAAAGTTGGTTGTGCGGAATCTATTCTGGATCGAATAAGAACAAGTTACCTTAACTTGCTCTGATGCTAAATGTACGTTAATAATGCGCCTAAGAGGGGGGTGGGGGAGATGAATTAAGTGATGGTAAATTTTTTCTTTCTTTTTAAAGTTCTTATTTTTCTGATTATGGTGATGAAATCAATAAAGTGCGGAAAGTAAATGAACACCAGATATATACTGGTTCCCCTTACAGATCAAGAGTATTCCAGTCCTCTTGCCAACACGAAAGAGATTTTACTATAGTTTAGAATGATTGCACAAGTCTAATCACACCAAAGGTGATGCCTTACTATCTAATCTATAGGGAGATCAAAGGCTCTTAAAGCCTTTAAGATCTTTAATACTAAGTACAAGAAGAACAATCATCTTCAATGTACACACTTGCTCCAACAATTCTGAAATGCAAGGTTAATCTTATACAAAATCTGATTTTTACAAAGTATGATCAATTCTTGAATAACACAATGGTTATCAAGATACTAAGACAAGGTTTAATAGAAAGTTTATAGTCAGATCTAGTGCTCAATATTTGCTGAAACAATGATGAATATGAAAGTTTTAAACAATGTTTCATGCAATATGTAAATTCTCAAAGTTTTACAACACTTAAGAATTTTTGAAAATTTGAATAATATGTGTTATGTTATGATCAGAGTGAAAACGAATTTTATATATGAAATGCACATTTTCATTACACTCTAAATGAGTAAAAAGATGCAATGGTTGGACCCCAAGAAGTATCATCCAATAACCAAGTAAAACATAAAATATTTGAATTTTTCTTCAGTGGTAATCGGTTACACATGTGCGATAACATATATATTTTCAAATTTGCATGCATGTAACCGGTTACCCAAAAGTTGTAACCGGTTACCACTAAACCAGAAATTCTATTTTATTTTTGCAAAGCCCTTTAACCGGTTACTGTAACCCTGTAACCGGTTACCACTGAGTGAAAGTAATAAAAAATTAATTTCTAAGTGATGGACATGCAATGTTTTATTCTTAAATGATCATGATACTTATGTAAAATGTTTAGAGTATATTTTGAGCACTATATCATCTTAAAACCTCAAATTAAAATTTGTACCTAACTTGTTGATTAATCTTCATAAATCTTCATCTTAAAAGTTGGTTGTACACATGCAGAAGACTTCAAAGAGTGATCTTGAAATATCATATGATCTTGAATATCTTCTTTTCCACAACCTTGATATTTCTTTGATTTTATGTATGGCGGTCTTCATCAAAACGCTTTGATCGGAGTGCATGCAATCACATATATAACCGATCATCTTTTCCTGACTTCTTCCTCTAACTCTCTCCACTGTAAAATCTCCAATCGATTTGCCTCTTCTCAAGCTCTTATAGTCGTAGCAATGTTGTCTTGCCGATAACTATACTCGAAAGCTAGAAGAACCATCTTCCACAGAAAAACACTAACAACAATGATAATTATTATAAATAAATTAAAAAGAAGATTTATTATCTTCAGTATAAAAGTCAAAATAAAAGAGACTTTAGATTAACTTACTCAGAAATGATCGATCAAAAGAGAGGATCAAAGAGATAAATGACAGTGAAAAAAATACAGTGTTAGTTGGTGATTTGATGTTGTCAATAAAAAATGTGATGGAAGAAAAAAGTTAAAACTTAAAAAAATGATTATAACATAAATAAAAACACTACAAACACAAAGATATTTACATAAAGTAAAAAAGAGAAATAAAGGAACAGAATAGGGTTTTTTGATAGAAAATAAACGTCTAAAAAAAGTGAATAAATAAAGTTAATGGTTTATATAAAGAAGACCTAAATAGTAATAAGAAGAAAACTACTTCTCCTATCTTTTAACCATTTTTATTTAATTAATTATTAAAAAATAATTGAAAAGTTAATTAAGAGCTATGTGCTCTATTATTGAAGTTAGTGGGTTCTATTATTTAGGTTAGTGAAAAAAATTATTAATGAATATTATCATTATTTTTTTTTTTATAATATAATATTTGTATAACTAATTAAATTACATAGAAAGGAAAATAGGTAAAGAAGTTGGAAATTTTATCCTAATCGTTAGTTTCTCACGTGGCTAGTTGCATATATAAATAATTTTTAAAATTAATTTTAATCTAATTAGTTAATATTAATTATAAAATTTGGGAATACTATTTTCCATATGAAATAATATAATTAAAATTAATAATTAAGTTAATATGATAAATAATTAATTAATGGAAGAAAAATTAACTTTTACTAAATAAGTTAAGTAAGTATAAATAGATCATTATCTCTGCCTTTGCCATCCCTCTCAAGTTTCATTGCTAGAATTGATTAAAAAAATTACAGTAACTGGATAAAAAGATGGTTGTTTTGAAAAGTGACAAAGAAAATAGATGAATGTCTAAGATGATGGCCAAATGGCAACAGCACAAATGGCAACAGCAGATAAAACACTGCAGAGGATCGATATCCGTAGAATTGCCTTCCATAATTTTTTGTGAACTAATTTTCTTTTAAAAAATAAAATCATGTTTTCAGCTTTCACATTCTTGCAAACTTCGCGTACAAGTACTTATCAACTAAAATCTAAACAAGCTGATTTCACTTTTCAATTATTCCACAAACAACTTTTTCACGTTATATTTCTCCTCATATGTCATAACTACTTGCCATAACCGAATAAGAGAACTATAAAGGATCACAAAGAAACTCAAAGCTAGATTAATCGAAAACGAACTCCAAAGATTAATTTCAGTTTCACAAAATTTACATTACTGAATTCAAAAAACACAGATCAACTAACATTCTCACAAATTACTCTATTTGCAGATCTAGTCACGAAACCACAATTCTCAGACGGCGGAGATCTCTTCACGATCTTCGAAGTTCGGATCCTTGGAATCCAAAGCTCCGTGATCCGGTCCGATCTGAACATCCGAGTAGCTATGTCCGATCCATGTGAACTTACCTCCGTGACCTCCTTTCTTCGGCGATCCGCTCATTCCTGACGCGGATTTCCGATCCTTCCTTGTCTCCAACGACGGCTTTCCGTTCGCCTTGTGGCTTTTTCCGGTGTCTTTCATTCTTCAAGTCGAGCGAGTGAGAGAGTGACGAAGAAAAACTGTTACTTGGGTTGAGGGTTTATATAAAAAAGATGAGGGTAATTTCGGGATTCCAATTCTATCATCTATGGGAATGGGACATGCGTAATTAATTTGGTTGTAATCGGATAAGAACGGTGGAGAAAGATTGTATGCGGCAAGGGACACCATACATAATATGGTTGATAATTGACTAAAATCTTCAATAATTTATTTTTATTAAAGTTTATAAATACACAATACTTTGTTTTTTTTTTTTGCTAATGGATGGGCAAGGCCCTTAATATTTTTGGGATTTCTATAAAGCACTACTACAAAATATATATATATATATATATATATATATATATATATATATATATATATATATATATATATATATATATATATATATATATATATATATATATATATAGAGGGGGAAAGGAACCGGACCAATAAAAATTGTTAATCAAATTAAATTAAATTGAAATTGTAAAAAATTGTACTTGATTCAGTTCTATTTAGATATTTTTTAACAAAATTATGCGGTTCAGTTTGATTTACGGTTTGTATTTTAAAAACCGAATCAAACTGAACTAAATTGTATTATGTTACAATGTAAACTTTACTTAACTCACATCCAATTCAAACTCAAATCTATTATATTTTAGCCTTACAATTACCGATGATTTCCTCTTCTTTACACTTAAGGTTTCAATTTAAGTCTTCTCAAATCTCTCTTTATGGTATCGTGCCTTCTTATCTTTTTCTTTTCCATGAACATTTTATTATTTTTTTCTAGTCTCTCATCTCTTATATTTTTTCTTTTTCATCTTCTTATTTTTATTCTATCGTTCTCTCTTCCAATTATATTTTTAATACACTTCTTTTTCTCTAATCTCTCATCTCTTCCATTATTTATTTTTCTGTCTTCTCTAATCTTTCATCTTCTCTATTTTTTATGTTTTATTATAATATTTTTAATATTATTTTATATTATTATGCTATTATTTTAAGTTTTCTATTCCACTTTTTTTTAATCTTATTTTTATATATTAAATAAAAATTATTGTCCAAAATATGATAAATTTGATTCTTATTTGATAATGCATAAATAACTAAATATAAAAATATATTGTCATATATATATGACTCAATAAATTTTTAATAAAAAATTAAACCAACTCAAATCGTATTTATTTTATTTAATTTTATTTTTATAAGTCAATCAAACCAAAATCAACTACACACTATTTTTTTAACAATTCGAATGATTTTTAACGTAAAACTGGTCAATCTGCATCACAAACATTTTGTCTATCTTTCTCCGCCTTGCATTTTTAATTTATTTTTTAAACAAAATAAATGAAAGACTATGATGCATTGATCAACACATTACATTGGCTCACGCAGTACATGACTGCATTGATTAAATAAAATAAATAAAAGGCTATGATGCCTTGATCAACACATTAAATGGCACATAGAGTACATGACTGCGCTGAGTGTAGTGGATCATGGTTCATATAAAAAAAAATGCTCTTTTTTATTCTTAATAATAATGCCACACACATTTCAATATCTAAAATATTTTAATTTGAAGATGTATTTATGACACATTTAAAATCACACCAACAAAAATGTTATAAGTGAGACACATATACTTTACCTAAAAAAAGTCTAAATATTTATCTCTGAACTTTGGAAATGCACTTGCATAAAAACACCGGTAAAAAAACATCGAATCTTTTTCATCTTTCTCCTCATAAGAGAGTATATAATGATATATTAATTTAAATTTTTATAGCATAATCACTTCCTCAAAATTGCTATCAGCATTTTGGTAGATTAATTTCATTTCATCATCTAATTATAAGTTATTATTTTTTCTTTAAAAAATACAACTATTGTATCGTGAAAGATTATTTCAATTTTGATAGCAACTTTCTCCTTGAATCACTTCCTCAAGATTCACTTTCACTAGTAGCATTTTCTTAAAATTGCTATCAGCATTTTGGTAGATTAGTTTTATTTAATAATCCAATAATAAGCTATTATTCTTCCTAAAAAATACAGTTATTGTATTATGAAAGAATTGCATTTTTATTTTAACACACTAAAGAATAAGAGTTTTGATTAAATGAAAATTTCAAGAAATTGAAACTCCAAAAGCATCATTGAAAAAATTGAAAGGATATAGGTCATGAATAGAATCATCCATTTTTAATATATCAATATAATGTGATTTTACTAAATCAGAATGGACCGTCATAGTTGGCTCGGACATAAGTTGAATGAGATAGGGGTACCTGCAAGACACTCCGATAGCAAAGTCAATTGCGGAATGAGCAAGCAAGCGTTAGAGTTAGAAAATGTTGAGTACTTGACCCTCTCGAAAGAGAGGGTATTTATAGCCCCCAGCGTTGGGCCAGAGTCTCTTTATTGGACTGATCTAGCAGGCCCAACGTAGAGAATTCCAGGTTCTACGTGAGTAGTGGGGACCCGCACGTGCCCCCCTACCTGGATGACGTCCTCCGTAAGATCAGGAGGATATGGACGTGATCTTTCCGGGACCACGAAGATTCCGTAATATCCAGAGACGTTGGCAGTCAGCCCTACGAGGAAGATGCTCAGGAGGAGCGCCTGCTCGTCAGGGGTGATCCCGCCATACACGAGCGCGATAGGGGACTAGTCTTGGTCGACGAGCTAGTTGAGGTGTCCTCGAAGCCTTCATGGTCGGGGTGTGAGCGTCCTCAGTCTATCCGGACATTATCCCCGCATGGTGAGGTTGTCTCCTCGCGGGAAAAAGGTTAGTAGTTGCCCGCCATGTTCGAGGGTAGTACCGGTCAGTGGTGCAACTTGGCAAACTTGGATTAGGCCTCAATGGGAGTTGGGCCAAGGACAGGCCCAGTCCAGAACAGGAGCCCCCCAAGTCGTTGCTCCTGGTGGAGGAGTCATGACTTGATTCAAGTTCGTCTTTTTGCGAGGTTCGCTGCTCGACACGGAGTTTTTATACTGTGGACAGAGAACGTCGTCGGTTCATGATTTTGCTCCGAGCAGCGGTCGAAGCGTGTTCGAGGAGGACTCGCGGGGAGAAGATGATACACTTGTCAGACATGTGGCGTGGCTCTTAAGAATAGTAATGATGACCTAGGGAGTAGGGGCCATCATTGCCTATACATGTAGGTGTCGAGGAGAAAGTCGGCTTGTGACTGCCCGACGCGACGTTTCACATTCCACGTCAGCTCTATAAATAGGGCTCTAGGGCTCATAACTTACTTTCACACTTTCGCGATTCTACACTTTCTCTGCCGTCAACACTGCATTTTTCCAAAATCCTTGAGACCGCTGCATAGTCTGCCGCGTATCCTACCTTAACAACTGTCGCTCTTCATCTTTTCTTCAAGTAAGCATTCTTTTTCCTTGATATCTTGTGTTGTAGATAGATTTTGATGATGTTTAGTAGTAGGGTTTTGTGTCTGGGGGTTACGCCCAGGAAATTCAGGCGTTTAGGCGTTTGATTTATGACCATGCTTGTGGCGTTCATGCGTTTAGGCATGTGATTTATGATTATCCCCGTGACATTCATGGGTTTAACCAACAAATTTATGAACTTGGCCGTGAGATTCATTCTTTCGTCAGCATTTAGGCTAGTTTTCCCCGTGATCTCTTGTGTCTGGCTAACAAATTTATGAACTTGGTCATGAGATTCATAGTCTGCTCGCCATATTCTTCTTGTGCCCGGTATATTTATGATAGACATAGGTGTTCGTCGTTAGGATTGCTGCTTGATCGAGGTCCACGTATTTCCCCTTTTTGTGCGAATGGCCTTCGACTTGGTCTGGGCGTTGCTTAACCTCTTCATCTGCGTCGCAGAAAGGTGGATTTGTTGTCGAATTCATCGGTTTCCTGTACTTTGCAGGTAAATGGCTGATACTCCTGAGTTATCGGAGCATATAGACACCGAGGGAACCAGCGAGGTCGAGGAGAGCGTTAATCTGGTTGACACCATCGACGATGCTACTCTGGATTGGGTTGGTGCAGAACCCCGAGGGATAGCCTCGATCTACAGTTACACCGGGAGGTAAGCCTATACGATCGTCGAGTATGGCAGCAGCCAGGAGGGTTTTCGAAGAAATTTCAAAGTCATGAGGCCGACACAAGACGCTCGCATATGCTCGGAGTTCACTCAGGATGCCTTCCCCATGTATGAGATCGTGTTCACAGACTTTGGGCTTCATCTTCCTTTTAACGACTTCCAGATGGGGTTGTTCAATCATTTGAATCTGGCGCCCTCCCAACTTCATCCTAACGCGATTGCCTTTATCCGGGCATTCGAACTTACATGTCGGTTCCTGAGGATCGGGACGATGATTCCTATGTTCTTCAAGGTTTTTCACTTGCAATGTAGTCCCGAGGAGGGAAGCATAGCTGGGTATCCCTTAAACAATCGAAAAGGTTGTTTAGGATGTACATGGATTATGTCCGGTATTTTAAGGACAAGTGGTATATCCTGTAACCATCTACCCAAATAGTCGTGGATTCACTGTTCGACCCAGCTACCATGGTGAACGAGGATACAGAGTCGTGTTTGGACGTCGAGGGTAATCCTGAGATGGGGAGAATCTCAAAGTTTCCCATCCACAGGTGCTCGGCCCACTACGACCATGGTCCCGGATATTACCACACTTCCGACGGCGGTATGAGCATCGAGGATGAAGAGGCATATGGCGTCCTAAATCGATTCTTCGACAGTTTCTTCCCCACTAGGTGGGTTACGAGGTAAGGACACGGCGTTCTTGACGAGGACGGCGAGCCAACGTTCGAGGCACGTCCGATCAATACCAAGGCGCTCGTCGAGTGTCAATCTTATGGGCAGGCTGTATATCTCTTAGGTTTTTTGCTTACCTTTACTACATTGATAGCCTTCTTTTGTTTCTTCGACGTAGCTAACCCGAGCACATTTTCTTTGTTTTTGCAGGTGACATGGCGGAACGACA